TCTCTCTCCGTAACGGTGGTGACCTCCGTCTGAGCCTCTCTCTCCGTAACGGTGGTGACCTCCGTCTGAGCTTCTCTCTCTCCGTAACGGTGGTGACCTCCGTCTGAGCCTGGCCGTCAGCCGTTGTTATCTCCGTCTGCACGGCTGTGCTGGTTACGCTAGCCCTGCCTACACTGATGCTGGCCATGTCTTGGAGCATGCTGCGCGTGCAGACGGCAGCGATGCGCAGCGTCACCTGTGCTGCACCATTAAACAGCCCGGTAATGGCGTTGATGCCTTCCACCGCCGACATACGCGACAACATGCCTGAAAAGATTAATGTAAATTAATGACTACTGGTGTAGCTGTTGTTCCTTACACACGGAACCCCTGCACGAACGAACGCACACAAGTCCTCTTACATTGCGACCAGGGTTATACGCAACATATCCAATGCATATCAAACAAGCAAGAATGTAAGCAACTTCGGAGACTTAATTTCAGAGTTGTAGTTTAAGATATTAATATATTATGTATATATATTTGGTTTGACACGATAATCTACTTTCCACGCGTGACGCTAGCGCATACCAACAGAAAAGAAACTTTCTTTATTACTTCTTTTATTCGCCTGCGCTATCCAGTTTTCATGATAGCATGAACGAAAGTGATCATCAAGATAATTAATTCTGACCTCTAAATCTCAATTTAATCTATAGAATCCAATGTAGGACTTAATAATAGCATTGTCGTACGTTAATTACTGAGTATGTGATTATAATATAGAGGTCATGGGACGTAGGTCCTAATGAGGCGTGTGCTATGTAAATGTCTGACAGAAGATACCACGTTAATAAACTGTGAGGTTATCAACAGCTATTCATTTTAGGTGCATTATATAGGGTGTTCATCCCTGAATGCCTGCATGAACTTCAAGTATACACTGGTCTATGTGACTGAATATATGGGCATGTTTTCGCGTCCAGAACGATAGAATACAACATCGACTAACGTTAATTTATCTAGGGCCGGAATTATTGCATGTAAGTATTGTATTGTCGTGCGCGTGTACGTGTATCTATGTAATGCGTATATAGACGTTATTATTGCATCTATTAGCGTAATTTTGTGTATTTAATGTCCGTTCGAACGCGTCAAAAACGTTTAAAACCGGCACAATAACCGACACGTGGGCGCGTCATTGTTCCCACCACCGCTCACGCGTGTGAGCGCTACAGTCAAAGAAGTGACGTCATCCCCCTGGCAACGATTATTACTGTTTACCAGTGTGAACAAAAAAGACGTAAAATCAAGAAACACCAAGAAAAATGTTTAGAGGTTTATCTTTATCTGCCAAACTCGTGGCCTGTGGCGGTGCAGTAGTATCGCAACGGCCGGATTTTGCCAAGGTTAACGTGGCAATGCGCTTCGAAAACATCCGTCATCGGGCATACAACCGCAAGCATCAGGTGCGAACTTAAACGAAGGTAGGCCTATATATTAATGTTCGCTTATATTTTGACAATTAAATATGCAATCTTTTATTTTTTTAATTTATAACCCTCAGCAGCTATAGTAAAACTAATGTACATATTCACGTGCATCTGTTGCACGATTACGTTTAAGTTTTGCGTTATTTAAATATTAATATAAAGTTAAAAATTGAAAAGCGGGAGAGACGAAATTCATTAAATTACTACGATTATAATATATATATAAATATGTTTATTTAATTATTAAAATTAATTATTATTATTTTATTAATTATAATTAATTATTATTATTATAAAATTATTATTATTATTAATTAATTAATTATTAATGTTTATTTTGTGTACATAATTTATAAACCCATTATTATAAAAACTACGAATGTGCTCATCAATATTTTACTATATTAATAATTTATTATATTGCTGAGCATATGAATATTTTTCAATAATCCTCGCAAGTTTAATATCTGATTTAGAGAGAATTCATTCCTATAATCTGAAAAACATATACAAGATTCAAACAATAGCCCTTGTCGAAACCTAATCCTCCCTCCTTTCCTCCCTCTTCTCTCTCTCTCTCTTCTCTCTCTCTGCTCTCTTCTCTCTCTCTCTCCTCTGCTCTCTCCTCATCTCAATCATATACTTCTACAATTCTGATATTAAATCCCTGTGGTGTGGCTTACAAGAGTCTTTCTGTTGGACATGCAATTGGAGTTTATTGGGTATGGCCCTGGTCGCATGTAAGAAGATATTGCGTGTGTGGCGTGCTCCGTGAGTGCGTGCAGGTGTTTTCGTGTATAAGGAACAACAGCTACACCAGTAGTAATTAATTTTAACTAATCTTTTACAAGGCATGTTTGTCACGTTATGTCGGCGGGGAAGGCATCAACGCCATCTACCGGTCTGTTTAACGGTGCAGCACAGGTTACGTCTGCGTATCGCTGCCGTCTGCACGCGGCAGCATGCCCAAGACATGGCCATCAATCAGTGGGGCAGGCTCAGGTAACAAGCACAGCCGTGCAGCACTGGAGATACGCACGGCTGACGGCCAGTCAAGACGGAGTCACCACTGCATACGAACATCAATGGTCCTGGTGAAGGTAAATTGTCTTTGGAGAGCCAATAAATATGATTATATTATATAATCTCTACCTTTCTTTTGCGCCATTCTCTCGCACTACACGTCACTATGCACCGTATGTCGAGTTATTCGTACAGATACTCCATTTACCTGTCATGATATGTAAAACACAGTCGATTTTGTAATGTTAATCCTAGTAATTTTAGATTCAGCGAACAGGTCACACGCCACTAAACCAGGAAGGCTGAGAAGTGTGGAAATTACGCCAAAAGAAAGCAGAAGAAATGACACGACGAATTCCGCGCAAACCTTGAGCCAGGTATAAAATGCTAAGCAATTACAGAGTGTTGGTCAAATGGCCGCTAGGGCAATGCAGATCGAGATTCTTTTGTTATGATGCTTCACGTAACTGAAACAGTAATATTTGCAGCCACGTTTTGAAGAACAAGCCTACGGACTGCGGCGGAGAGGACAGACGGAGAGGCGATCGGTGCGCTCGTATCGGTCATTCCGTGGCGTCAAGCTCAGGTCACCGTAGACTCGTTCTGCATGGGTTACCAACAAAGTCTCTCTGGAAGTTCAGGTGAGAAAATGACCAGTAAATGCGGTTCGTTCCTCCCTAATCGGCACGCGTTCATTACGGTAAAACA